CCTTTTGCCATTGGCCCGGGCGGGGAAACCCCCCTGGCAGGCCAGGCCAGATTGTTTCCCTGCCACGTCTGCAGGTTCGGCCAATCGCGGCTCCCACTGGCCGCGGTTCGCCGCTCCAGGCCAATGGGGGCTGCAGAAAGCGGCATGGGCCAAGGCACGTGCTGACTGCCCTTCCTGCAGCCCCCATTGGCCTGGAGCAGCGAACCGTGGCCAGTGGGAGCCGCGATCGGCCGAACCTGCGGACGTGGCAGGTAAACAATCTGGCCTGGCCTGCCAGGGTGCTTACCCTGCCAGGCCAAGTGCCAAAGGTTGCCGATTCCTGGATAAGGCATATTGATGCAGCATTGAGGCAAAGTGTAAGATACTGCCCATGCTATATTTGTTCTGAGAAGGTATTCAGTTTCCAGTGTTGACCGATTCACATCTTTCATGACCAATAATTTCCCTTTGGAATCTAAATTAGTATAATTATGTTCATGCTTATTTAAAACATTATTTTAAAATAAAACCCAGTAACGGGCAGCTGAATCCAAACTGCTCTTCATAATTGAGGCACCAGGGAAACCAGAAGGTGCCAACATTAGCTATAGCATACAGACCAGAAGGCAAGATCCTCAACATGCAAGTTCAAAAAACATACTTACATAAATCAATAGAATCTACATATGGGAAAAACTGGATTTAGTTTTTAGTTTGTACTGCACAAGTGAGTGATAAGTATATATTGTGTATAATCTCACCTATTAACTTTTCCAGTTATTTATGCAGACAGACACTGAGGGAATGAAAAACATTATTATGTTTCCTTTTCTCTTTAAACTTTAATCAATCATATTTCAGATTATCCTTTAATAAATGGAAGATACATGTTTCAGTCCTGTTCATTGCCATATGGTCTCCCAACAGTTTATTTCAGAACATGTAAAAAAACCCAGCAATTATCCAAGAGAAAATATTTTCTTTCAACATCTTTAATAGATTTGAATCAAATAAAATGGCTAACAGATCTTTGCAGATATATTACATTAATGTAAGTTCTAGCTAGTAGATTTATTGACAGTTTTTTTGTTCTTGCAAAGTAAACCAGTTTAATTCTGTTGTACCCTTGGATAAGTGAACATGGACATACTGTACCAATGAATGTAGTCACTTGGACACTACAGTGATGAAGGCCAGGTAAATAGATTCTATAAAAAAGTATTGTTTGTCAGGTACTGCACGGTGATTTTGTGCTGTTCTAATATTAATCTGAGTAAGGGTTGGGCAAACCAGTTTGGATAATAGGTTTCATTTGCTCAATGCATGAATCACCACCAAGTAACAAGACAGCAATGTTCTGCACTGACTGACATTTTTGAGTGGTCTTCATGGATAAACCCAGTCAGAGCACATTACAGCAATCAAAACTAGAAGTTGCATAAGCATGGATAACTGCAGCAAGGTCTAGTCTTAGACAGTTCTACTATATGGATACACAGAAGAAGCAGGGGAGCCAATAGGATTCCTTGATTATGAATGTTATAAAATTGAGGGAAAATCAACGGGACAGGAGCAACCTATGCTCTTTTCAGTCCTTAGCAGACCAGCACCACTTCTCTTATGTGGACTGAGGTACATCTCTCTCACACACATTTTCTCTCTCTCTCTCTCTCTTTCCCCACCTCTTGAAATGGCAGCATTCCCCTATATGCACGTGCTGAAGAACCTTCTGGAGGAAAAAATGAAAGATGATATAAAACGGAAGTTATTTTAATGTTTATTATTCTTTTTAGATTATAAAAAATGCTGTAGTGTTTCACATTAAAACATGATGTTTTAATGAACTAATACAAATGCTACAGTTATAGACAGAACACAAGAAATGTGGCATGTATATAATAATTATTAATATTGTGGCCCGTTCCAAAATGTTCTCTGAAAAATTTAAGACCTGTGTTGTAAACTCTTTTGCCTGAGAAGGTTGTTAAATTTAAATAATACAATTGCATTGTTGTCTAGGCTGTATATTTTTGACAAAAACAAAAAAAACAGCAGAGGCATGCCAAAGTGGACTTTTGTTAGTTCATATTAATGTGATGTCTCGGGTTGTGAGAATTTAGTTCAGGGGTGACCAAACTGAGCCTAAGAAGAAGCTTGCATTACCAAAGAGCCACAGTAACAGGTCAGCAGCCCCCCCTGTCAGCTCCCTTCCTCCCCCAGTATCTGCCACCCAACAGCAGCACCGCCAATAAGCACGTAACCCTCCATCCTTGTGCCTCCTGCCTGCCACAATCAGCTGTTTTGTGGTGGCTTGGGGGAGGGGAGGAGGAGCAAAGACGCGGCTGACTCAGGGGAAGGGGCGAGGGCCTTGGGGAAAGGAGTGGAGTCGGGCCGGGGCCTAGGGCAGAGCCAGGGGTTGAGCAGTGAGCACCCTGTAGCACATTGGATAGTTGGCGTCTGTAGCTCCAGCCCCGGAGTCGGTGCCTATACAAGGAGCCGCATATTAACCTCTGAAGAGCCGCATGTGGCTCCGGAGCCACAGGTTGACCACCCCTGGCTTAGTTAAATCCTCCTGGTGGGAAGCGCTCTTCTGTAAGAAAAACAAAAACAAACCAAACAAAAAAACAAATCACACATCTCCAGGCTAAGAAAAGCTTCATTGCAGTGGCTAGTTCTTCCAAAATATGCTCATTCTGAGCCTGATTTCACTTGCACTGCTGGAAATCAGAGTAACTCTGCCCTTACACCAGGGTAGAGCACAATCAAACACTCTTGTTCTAGTGCTGCCCTAGCAGATTCTAGGCCAGATCCACAGGTGGTGTAAATTGGCGTAGCTGCATTTACTTCAATAGATGTAGATTGATTTACAGCAGCTGAGGATATGTCCCTCCATCACCAGTGATGCAAAGCACATAGCCAGTACAGTTTTTAAAGGAACAGATTTGAAACAGTATTTTCCACACACTCTCCATTCCAGCCATGGCCTCCCATCTGACCGTTGATTAAGTAAATGATTTCTTTCTATTTTTGAGGGGGGAAAAACAACAACAACAACAAAAACATCACCTCCTTTTGCCCTCCACACCCACAGCTGCAGAATCCCACCTGGATTAAGAAATTGATTTATTTAAAATAAACACATTGATCTTCTTTGCCCTTCCCCAGGCTGCACATTTTCACTTCCTATCCCCAATGTTTTTCTCCAGTTCTCAAAAATATTTCATATTAACCCCCCACATGTCTCTGGGTGCTCTCTTCAATGCTGTATCTGCTGTTCCTCTGTGTCAATTTCTTTCAGCTGGCTTTTCAGAATGGGACCAGACATAAGCGCTTATGATGTTAGCAGCAGGCTCTCTGCTGGCTGAAGCAATAAGATAAACAGGGTCAATGCAAAAGAGATTTAGATACAAACCAGCAGTGGGCTTTTTGGAAGGGCTTTGCTGGTCAGAAATGAAATCTCGGGTGAACAGCTCCAGGCAGCTTTGTTGTGTAAGAGTGGCTTCCATGATTGAAACAGGTTATGTCACACACTGCTAATAGCATGAAACTGACTAATAGTAATAATGAGGAAGAAATTACCTATGGGTCACTGTGACAAGAAGAAGACTGGGAAATGAAGTTTCAAGACAAAGAAGGAAATTCAGATATTATAAAGATAGGATATATCCTCTCACAGAACACCCAATATTTCAAAAGAATTATCATTTAAATGATGATGAAATATTTATATTGCTGTAGCACCTAGAGGTCAAGGACCCATTATTCTAAGTGCTGTACAAATATAAAGTTAATGACAGTCCCTGGTCATAGTGTTTAAAATAAAATACAAAAGGAATGAAGAAGCTATAAAGTGCAGACATGTATTAAGGAGCATGCAGTGAATGTAAAGGATCAAAACTACATTGGCTGGCTTTATACTCAAGAATCCTAAACATTTAAATCTCTAAAATTTACTGCTTAATTGATTCATATGATAAACTAAAAAACTAATTTATTATCTGGGACCTAAAGACCATCCTTTGAAATTGTAGGGGCTTGAAATAATAAGATCATTTGAAACATGGAAATGAGATCTCTATGATTTTTAAAATGTCGTTGAGACTATGACAAAAGAAGAGGTATTTCCTGGGTTGGTGTTGACCTGCTGACAAAGCTGAAGAGAATGAAGACTGGACCTCTTCATACAAGTATGAATTCAATTTGTTAATAAATACAAACTACTTTTCAGGAATGTGGGAAGGAAAGTCTATGAGGAATGACACATTGTCCTGAGCGCTGTGGCATGTGTATGTTCTGGCAGCCTATCTGAAAACACCTTGGACCCAAGGAGTTAAGACAGTCATGATTCTTCAGAAACATCTTAGGCATCTGTCATGGTTGTTCATAAGGGACACATTGTGATCACACTCAAGACAATTTTTTAAAAGTCAGTAGATTACTTCTTCTACGGGCTGAAAGACTGTATTATCATAGGAGGGAAAAGACCCAGTAAAAATGTTATGATATAAACTCCCCAAGGGGGGATTGGTAGTGCAGTGGCTAAACGCATTAGCCATTCACTTCCAAAGATCTGGGATTATGTTATTCATGAGAGTTTGACATTCCCACTATAGGTACACAAGTCCACTTCACAGCAAGAAACAACTGCACCATTTTGTCAATAATAGCAGGGCTGGCACCATCTGCTTCAGGGAGATGAGATCTAGAATAGCAAAGGTAGTGCATGTCACCATTAACTGGGGACCACAGGAATTGTGTATTGGTTTGCTGTCTTTTCTATGGTCATTCCAACCAGAAAATGGACCTAGTGAGGAGTAGTACCTACAGCACATTTCACTCCAATAAATAAATGCACAGGCAGGTAGATGACAATCTGCAGGAAATCTCTTGCCTGGAAAAGCAGAGAGAAGTCCTGGAAAGTGGTGTATTATCATTGCCTAAGAATTGGAAGCACCTGTTTCCTTTGGCACAATGAGCTGAAATGGATATTGCAGCTAGTTAAACGTTAATCTGTTTCATGGAGGAGATAGCAATGCTATTGCCAACGGAACAATGCTCTTCAAGAGCCTGATACAAAGCCCACTGATGTCAAAGGCAAGACTCAAAGTGATTTCAGTGGGCTTTGGATCAGGCCCCAAGCAGTGAGAACCGGCAGCATATTTCGCTGCCCCTAAGAACTTGTCCACTTCATGGGCTTTCCAATGCTTCCAATAGTTCAGCTATAATAATATACAGACAGACTTACTATTCAGTAACAGCTCTCAAGGCCCCACATACAGCTACTGAAGTCTCTCAACACCCCTTTAGTTTATTATCCATATTTTTCATTATTAGCTAAAGATGAACAAATGGGAAATTGATAATTGTGCACATGTGCAATACCATATTTCATGAATTTGATCTAGGCTGAAATATTCCTACCAGTGAAGACAGCTTTGTATCGTAAAACTGGCAATCTTCTCTTCCTGTGTAAAATTTAAACAATTCAGTATTATGATTTTGCCCAGTATAGACATTTGATTTTTTTTTCTCTGAAATATTTCACCATGCTTCAAATGTAAGCAGCTGAAGTTTTACTTAAATTGCAGCTCTGTAAGGTAACAATGTATAAATGGCATCAGTGTGTGTGTGTGTATCATATTTATCATTTTCCAGGCTCCATTTCAGGAAAGAACTTGAATATATATCTAAGGCTATGTCTATACTATAAGCTAGGGGTGTGATCCCTCTGTTTGTATATGCATAGTTGCACTTGCATTGACCATAAGCAGGGATCGGCAACCTTTGGCACGTGGCCCGTCAGGGTAAGCACCCTGGTGGGCTGGGCCGGTTTGTTTACCTGCCGCGTCCGCAGGTTCGGCCGATCGCAGCTCCCACTGGCCGCGGTTCACCACTCCAGGCCAATGGGGGCTGCGGGAAGCCGCAGCCAGCACATCCCTGGGCCTACACTGCTTTCCACAGCCCCCATTGGCCTGGAGCGGCGAACCGCGGCCAATGGGAGCCGCGATCAGCCGAACCAGCAAATGCGTCAGGTAAACAAACTGGCCCAGCCTGCCAGGGTGCTTGCCAAAGGTTGCTGATCCCTGAGCTAATATGAGTACGAACAGGAGTGTAGCAATGGTAGGACTAGTAGCAATGGCGGAGGCAGGCCTTAGTCATCCAATTATGTACCCACCAGTTTTGAGGCATATTTGTACTCGATATGGCTAAGCCATGCCTCCCTCTGTCACTTCACATGCTACCATGGCTACATTACTGTTTAAATTCATGCTAGCTCATTGAGAGTGACTGTGAGTATGTGTAGGCAACTGGGGCAGAGACTGCTAGCTCCCAGTATAGAAGACTGAAGTCAGTGGGACTCGTCCACATGTAATAAAGTGCTTTTGTCAAATCGTGGAGTGTTTTCCTGAAGACGAATCATAAATTGGGCAAAATCATCATGATATATCATTTAATTTTGTGTAGGAAGGGAAGCTTGCTAGTTTTACTTTGAAAAGATGTGTTCTGTGCATGGAATATAACATTTCAATGTTACTTAAGTACACCCATAAAATTAAGCGAGTGATTAAGTGCTTTTCAATATAGGGATTCTTGCTGAATTAGGGCATTTTGGTTTCCAGCTCAGATTTGCTCAGTTGACAGGAAAGACTTTGTTACTTATGAAGATATGTGAGAAGGCAAGAAGCCAACTTGACTTGCAGATCCCAGGTTTAGTTTGTAGGGCTGGTAATTAGGAGGGAAGCATATTTTACTTATAAATAGAACAAATTTGAGTTGGAAGATTTGACAGACTGTGAAAACGGAACCTCATGATACCCCTTTTTTCAGAATAGAATCATCACAACAAATAATTATGGCCCTAGAGAGACCGAGTGATAGAATAAGAAAAAAGCTAAATACACTAGCTTGGATGAGTGAGGCAAAAGTGAGTGACATGCTAACCTTCTTAAAGTACTTGAGATTTTTAAGCATCAGAGAGGGAGGTGAAGGAATTCATATATTATAGTGTTAGGCACCAAAGGGACAGACAGATTGTCTAGTGTGGTAGAACTGGGGGTAATGAGATGGACTAAGCAACATAAAATTTCAGCCGAATATCTGGAAAAATTATTGGATTACCAGTGAAAGTGGTGGGAGACACAGCACTTGGGATATTTAAAATAGACTTAAAGTACTTACAAATGTACTGTGAGAATTACGCCTTCACAGGTAGTGAGGAGGGGCAGATGACTTAAAAGGCCTTTTTCATCTCCAGTATCTATGATTCTATGATACAGTATCATGTAAAAATATGATTTTTCCCCTGCTGGTTTTCCTGGATGTGAGATTTGTATCCCCTCTCAGCCCAATTAGCAGGAAATGAAGGTTCATTGTATCTCTTAAAATAAATATGATACAAATCACAGCATTATCCATAGAGTGCCACTTCACAGTTAACATGAAATGACTCAAGGTGGTAAATATTCAGTGCACTCTTTGATGATTTATCTTTTACAGTTTCCACTGACATTTATGGGAGTCACACAGTTAAAGCCCTGTGTGTTGTGCCAAAAATGTACCCCAGTGTGGCAGGGCATGTATGATCCATTCAGTGCAGCTTGGGACAGCTAAGAAATTACACAAAACATTACACTGTCATGACTCTTACTGGCATGCACACAAAGGCATTGTCCAGTGTGCATTCCTTGTGCCTTAGGGTGTGAGTGAGTGGGGGAGGAAGGTAATTTCCAGTTTGGGCAATGCCTGAGTCTCTCTACTCTCTGCAGAGCTGAGCATAATTCTTGTTCTGTTCTTATTATAATGTTTCACTGGCTGTTTAGATGATACCAGAAATGTCAGAAATTTGCAAAATCTGGGAACTTACAGGTAAACAGAAATTCACCTTCGAAGAGCTGCTGTGATTGAGAATTGCATGTCTTCCTGTTTAGCTTGTGGCTTTTCCTTTTCTAAAGCATCAAACAAGTGCTTCTATGATGATTCTGTATCCTTCTTATATAGGAAAACCCTTATGATTTATCAATCTACAAAACAAAATGAAAGTTATTAGTAGGCTTCTCTCTGCTGCAATGTGCCAGCAGAAATATCTTTGTCACTAGAGGGCAGCCATCATCTGCTAGAGAGCCAAGGGAGATCTGCATGGAAATCAAGGTCTGATTGTAGATGCAGGGGTGTGATTCTGGATCAATGGGCTTTGTCTCAGCTGTGCTAATTTTCAACACAAGTAATAATCAACATTTTAAGTTTTTAGCTAGGAATCAACAGTATGGCTTCTTGTGGCATTAGAGGCAGAATATTAAAACCTGTCAATGCAGATTGACCAGTGACATTGACAGTCGAAATTGGGGAAGGAGGGGCAACAGGCTCTGCAGTTTCAGTTAATGTACTCACTCCTCTTCCCGATTTTTCCATTGAGCTAGTTCTCAAAGCTGCTGAGAGAAAAGATAGTTAAACAACCACTCAAGATAACCACAGTATTGTCACATCCATCTGGAAAATCATGCATCTTATCATGCATCCAGAACAATGGACAAAGCAAAACAATGAATTGTCAGTGTCACCAAGCAGGTCTTTCTTGCTCCCTTCCTCTTTAGCATCTGACATTGGCCACTATTGGCAACAAGCTACTGGACAAAAAAGAACACTCATTCGATGCGGCAATTCCTGTGTACCCACGTACAGAGCTGGTGCTGTGCTGTATTCTGCTGTGCCATGTCTTTCTCATTGGCAGGACAATTGTTGGATGATCCTAATAGGCTATGCACCCAAATAATGAGCCTCTTCTCTCACCCAAAGCTTTATTCTGACTGTGCTCAACTTTTTAGCTTCTGATTCATATAAAATGTTCAGAACTACCGGATTCCACTTGTCTTTTTACTTCTTTTCAGACTGCAAAACCCTGCAGTGTTTTTGTGACAAAACAATCCCCAGTTTATCATTTACATGATGTGAACATATAAATGAGAATGAAAAATAATACTTTTGTGGAAACATGTATTTGCAATTCTCTTGCTTTGCACCACTGACAATTTTGTATTTTACAACTATGTTGCAAGGTATAAAATGATTTTACTGCTATTTACTGTGCCAGATGACTGCTCATGCTCCATCCCACATACATGGATACATATTGCTTCTTGTGCATGCACAGTAGGTGACTTGATAAGATAGATGTTGATGCGTGCCTGTACACCAGAGGTCAAAAATTAAGCCTAGATCAGATCAGAATGGAGCTTGCCTATCTTGGAAATCTGCCTTAAGCTCTCTTTAAAATAAATTTCTGAACATCACATTTTATATCCAGTAATAAACAAAGCTTCAAATTTTCAGTGTTTGTGAGCTTAGGACAAGCCCATTAAAAATCAGTAAAGCAGACTGAAGTGAAAGGAGAAAATTAGCATAGCATTAAAAAAAAACAAAAACACACTCACAAAGAGCCTGATCCCATGCTTTATATTCAGGCACAACTCCCAGTGGAGTACATTATATTGGAAGTGAATGCTAGAAGTTTCTGGACTAGGAATGGGTGGAAGGTAACACTCAGAGAGGTAGACATAGCATTTGTGTTTGTATTCTTGCCAGTGGTATTAATCAGCAAGTGATTAAATACATGTCATATCTCCGGGTATGAGAAGATGGATTTTACACTCTGCTCACTTTGTATATTTTCAATCCTTGATGTAGGCCATCCCATGACTCAGTGATAACTGATATTAATCCACCTCTGATTTCCTAGGTAACTTAACATTTACTGAAATAGAGTATCTACATGGGAAGTTATATCAGCATAGCTAGAGCCATTATTCTACTATTGCTATGCCAATCAATTTCTTTGTGTAGTCAAGCCCTAAACTTCAAAAGCACGTTGTAGGGGCATGCCCCTTGTGGCCGGTCACGGCCCCGTAGGCACATTACACTCAGCATTACTTGAATCTTTTCAGATAATTACCCAGACCAGATTAGTTTTATTCATTTGCAGGGTCTGGGTTAGTCACTCATTCTGCTGACGGTTAATCATGTATTTAGCTCCTCAAGTATACACCCATTCTGGGTCCACAAAAGTGTTCTGGTCACTTTCCTTCCCTGTACAGGAGGTCCCAGATCTTCTCCCAGAGCTGGGCTGGATTTTGGACAATCCCTCTTTCCCTCTCCTTAAGTCTCCTATGCTCAGCCCCTTGGAGCTGGAGTTGAAATTTAGGCCAGCTGCAGAGCCAGTGTCAGCTTCTCCTCCAGCTGGCCCTTTTCCCAATCAGTCCTTCCACCCTCAGACTGGGAGTGTTCAGCAGACAGCTACTGCTGTCTGCTCCCTACAGTATCTGCCCTACTAAGAAGGAGAAGGCAGCACTTATAGCCGTCCCTTTCTCCCAGATCATCCCCAATTTAGTTGGGAGAGAGGGAAGCCTTGCCCTGCCCTCTCTGCAAGTCCCCAGCTCTTTAAAGAAACTGTACCAGGGTGTCCCCCCCAAACCCTACTTACCCCGGGTCTGCTTCCTCTTGCTCAATATTGGCCAGGTCCTTGTAGCTATTATCAGACCTTTCAAATTTTAAAAACCCATGACACGTGGCAAGGTGGAGTAATCTGTACAGCCCTGCTACAGGGGACTTGATTCCCAAGTGGAGTTTTCACTCACTGCTTCCGATTCCAAAGTTCTGATTCCAGTGCTGTTGCAGAAGGAGCGAGTGGAGTGAACCTCCTGCTCCTTCCACTCTGGATGCAGGGAGCAGTAAATCTGTGCAGTGGCAGGATCAGAGGAACCTCTGCAGAGAGCATTGTATACAATCTGTCCAAAGGGGCTCTCCCTCCTCTGTGTGTCCCGTTGTGAAAGGCTTGCATATGAGAGGGGCAGACCACATGAGTCTGCAGCTATGCTGTCCCCCAGGAGTTTGCCTCCCACTTCCTCTGTGTCAGAAAGACTACTAATGGTTCAGGACTACAGTGATAGCCACGGAGGAGTTCCTGTCACTCATTTTCTGAGGAAAAGGGTACTTTCCCCTCGCTAGCCCTAGTTGAACTCCTCTGCACCAAGCTCAGATTCTCCTCCCTAACACCCTTGACAGTCATGCAGGAGAACAGAACAAGAGTAATGTCAGTCACTATTGAATTAAGAGATAAGCTAGTGCAAGGCCTGGGAACGTCTATGTGAGTGAAGTGTGAAGTCCAACACTCCAGACAGAAAAGCATAAGGTGTGTTTAATCAGTTGATAACTGATTGCAGTGACAAGTATGCAAAATAAATTACGCTATGTTCACCTCCTCTAGTATTACGGAACTGAACACCCACTCATTCTCAATCCAACAATAACTAAAACATTCTCTTCTGCTAAAAAATGTACTAACCTAAGGGTATAAACTGCAAAAACAAAGAAAAAATGTCTTTCTTTGCAGGGAGAAACTTTTAAGTCAATTGTTCCCTCTGGAGAAAAATCAGTATTTTAGGGTTCCATAACATTACGTGATGCATGTTCAAAAGATTTCTAATATTTTATTTAGTTCTTTATTATTATCAGCCTTTACACACACAGCAAAGCTATGACAAAATGTGCTACGATGGGTTTTTTTTATCTGAAACAAGTCCTACTTTAGAGGGAAAAAATAGAACTGTGTATTCATTGCTCCTTCCCCGATGCAACAAGTATGCTGTAATCATTTAAAAAGATCTTTATAAAAGGTTATAGCTCCTCTGTAGTACGAGGGTAAAGGAGCAATTTACATATGCTAATCTCTGATTTTATGTATTCTAACATCTATGTAATATTTAATTATTTCTTCCTTCAATGTTGTATGGATTCAAAAACAATGTAGAAGAAAACAAACAAACAAACAAACAAAAATTTACACAGTTATCTTTATGTCCAGATGCTTAATGACATTTCATTCTGGCTTCTCACAGAAGAATGTGCTTAAGAAGCAGTTTTTAAAATGAAGGAACAAGCAATGTGTGTTTTATTACATCATCATAATGACTTTTTAGTCTGTCTTTAATCCTTCCACTCAACCAATAAAGTAATACAAACAAAGAAAAACCCTGCAGTATGAGCCTCTGTTGGTCTCAGAATCATGTGACCCGCTAGACTGGCCCCAAAATATGAAATGGAGGTTTATGATGAATTGAGAAGACCAGTGAAGGGCATTTCAAATACATTTCACAAAAAATAATTTACACACAGATGAGAGATGGGAAAAGCCTTTCCGTAAAATATGTTGGAACATGGCAGTGTAGATCTTTCAACATATTCCTACTGATGTACATTACATGTATGTGCCTGCGTATGTTCACTAGTTACATATCAGATGCAACCGTCTGTGTAACTTTTCCCATGTCCAGCCCAAAATAAACCCAGTGAATTTTTTTTCCCTTTCTCTGGTCATGGGGTTTTGAAAGAGAATGCTATAAAATATAGGAACTCCTGTGCTAAAATTTGTTAAGATGATTCACTGAGAAACTTAGTATGCAATACTAATTTCCCTTTAAAATGCCCATATATTAAAGTGATGAGGTCTACTGGCCGTACATTGATGTTGCAGAGTGAAGTATGGAAGAGCACTGGTTCCAGAAGTCCAATAGGACTTTTTTTTTAATATTGTCCACAACTAAGGAACACCAGTGTTTCCAGTTACACCAGTGTAGTTTTCTTTGATTTTTGCATTTACTCTTAAATAGGTTTAAAGGTGCTATTGTTACTGCAATAATAGAAAACACAGATCCCAGGTACCAAATGGAAGAAACATTTTGCGTAGGGGAACAAAGACAACTTGATGCCAGCTAAGCCCAGTGGGCAATTTAACATTACCCATGCGCAAAGTGATTCAGTTTTTGTCCAGCTCTAGGAAAAATATATTTTGCTTTTTATAGCTACATGATGAAACTGAATTATTTTAGGCAATTAAAAAAAAGTTCTTAGTCAACAAAGCCTTTGAAATGTACATTTTTCATATAAATCCATTTTTTATTCTAAAAGAGATTATATAGGTATGATCTTTATAAAGTGGAATACATTCTATACTGTCATATAGTACATGTACTCACAAAGCAAAATAAATTTCACATTTATGGATTTCTTTGCCTTTTAAAATGGTCAGCATTTTGGTGGTAACATTAATAGTTATTACATATTTAAATGGACATTCTGTGTCTTTAACTGATCGACAAGATCAATAATTTTAAGATCAAATACTAACAGCAGTCTGTTTTTTTTCCTTAATCAGTGTCTTTTTGTTTTATACCCATGCCTACAGCAAGATCCTGTTTTCTGTATGTAGACAGAGCTTCCTGCTGTGTGCTGTCGAAAGAATGAAAAGACAAGATGGAGAATCAATTTAAGAAAAAAGCCTTAGTTGACAAAGCTTTACTGTTGATCAGTGGAATCTAGCTAGTTAAAATATCTTTAGTGGAAGATATTTTATAATCACATGCTTGGACATAATCAGTTCAGTTTTCCCTGTTTCATTCATACAGTATTTTTGCTGGATGGAAAATTGTTTTATTTTTATGCAAAGAAAACAACATTATTATGAAAATTGACTATATTTTGGTTTTGTAGTGATACACAGCAAAAGACAATGAAACACATTGCCTTGATATGCTGAAAATCTATCCCTTTAACACGTTTATTCTTTTAAAAGATAGTATTTGGTTAAGAGGGAGTTTGTCCTCTAGAGCAATGCAGCAGAGCACATTTACCCACTGAAAGATCTAATAACTGTTACAGTTCACCACTTGGTACTTGGGGGATTTTTTTCATTGACTCACTTAGTCTTTTATCACTTATTTGTTTAAACAGGTTTCACTACAAGCACAGGATGTGTACAGACTGATATAAAGTGCATGGATTTGCTAACAGGTTTATCCATATATCTGATATTTATTTAATTGGGTTTCACTAAATTTGCATACCAGCAGTAATTAGTTGTTTAAAAAGTCTTAATAGCATGGAGAGAAAATATTACTGAACTTTTTTTTTAAGCACATCCTTTATTTTACTTTTTAAAAATCAAACCCACTAGTAAGCATCCTGTTAACTCATTCCTGGTAATAAGAGAAAAAAATCAAAACATTTCAGCACCATCGCCTAAGCATGAAATGCACAAATAAATAATTTAGAAACTGATCTCAGGCCTGCAGCTAGTTTAGAAAATTAATAATATGATCCACATTGTGAACTGAACTTTGACCTAATTGTACTGCAGGCTTCAAGACTTTTGCTTTGAAAACTTTTTTCTTCCATTTAGACATCATTTCTTGATGGATTAAAATATTGCCTTTTGATTTTATCTTTTCAGACTTATGGAAAATGTTGTGACTCAAGAAGTAACAGCTTCAAAAACCAGTGGGAACCAAGATAACTGGATTCAAGAAAACTTCAAATGAAAAGCATGTTTGACTGATAACAATACAAGATGCAAATTAGGCCAAGGTTTTCAAAAGTGACTAGTGATTTTGGATGCCTCGGGTTTTAGTTATCCAAGTGGAGACCCCTTAAAGGGGTCTGGTTTATAGGAATATTATCATTAGAAATGCTGAGCTGAGCATTCCCCTTCTGAAAATCATGTCCCTTTCAGCTGTCTCAAAATGAGCACACACAAACAGAATCACCCAAACTCTCAAGTCACTTTTGAAAATCTTGGCCTTAAATCTTAATTGCTAAGGTCCAAATTCTGCAGCCTTTAGTCAGTTCTTACCCAGGCAGAATATGTACTATTGTTTATTGCCAACATTCTTTCCATGAATTTTAATAAAAATCCCTGTGCCAAAATTTTAATCTTAACTATAATCTAGAGGAGTTCTGCCTTCTGAGACAGGGCTGAGTGAGGACTAAAGTATAAGACCCAAGCTATATAATATTGCTTCAGGGCTGCTTCTGTTGTTTCTGGAGGTCAGGCTTAACAGTATACCAGGGTTTTGTTAATTTATAAAAGGAAGGCTCTCTGCAAAGGAAAGAGCAGGTGACTGCTTTTCCTTTAAAATAAAAGGTCTAGTCACTCCCCCCCCCCCAGGGAGGCTACAGTCAGAGGCAACAGCAGTAAGGTTACCATACGTCCGGATTTTCCCGGACATGTCCGGCTTTTTGGGCTCCAAATCCCCGTCCGGGGGGAAATCCCAAAAAGCCAGACATGTCCGGGAAAATCGGGACATGCGGGGCCGGCGGTCGGCGGTGCCGAGCCGGGGGCTCGGGGGACGGGCCGGCGGTGCCGAGCCGGGGGCTCGGGGGACGGGCCGGTGG